AAAARAAAAWAAARCGGATCTRKTGATCTAGAAAARAAAATTGGTCATCTTTCACYAGATAGTGGAACAGATAATCAGTGGCCGTGGTTGATCTGAGTATAAACAGGAATAGCAGTTCACCATCTTACGGTAATGGTTCATCCGAATACCAGAGGCAGCAACTGTTCACCTGATTAGGACGATAGCTGATTCGTTTCCCAGGCATAGTACCCGTTCTTCCGTCTCTTTCGTTGCTTTCTCTAGCTGAGTTAGTCTGAACCTCACCTTGTCCTCCGSTAGTGGAGGGYTATTTTTCACARGTGTCGAGTGTAGCTRTRTTTCCCCCCCAGAATGTGGCTATAGCGGAATAGGAGTTTCYGTCCTCARSAGAGCGCCAGAGCCAATCATCACCGAATGACACCGCACCGGAGTACAGGGGCCCMGTCGGCAAYAGTGAGCCAGAACCAATCAAGCAGCGTCGTGGCCGCAGTTTTACTTGCGAAAAGCAGGTCCTGTCCGCAGCAGAAGGGCAGTCGGCGAATGTAGCTCGCTTCCACAGCCAGCGTTCATGTCTGAGCACTGAACCCGGCGCACATCTGCCCGCTAACACTTCCACCTCTTCGTGACCCTCCGCAGACGAAGCTCAACTCTGCCCCTTTACCGAGCGTTGACCAGTCGGATTGGTAGCGCGCTAGGCGCGCCTGACGCGCGCGATAAAGTGCTTCTTCCCTCCCCTTTAACTGTTGCTCCTTGCTCGAACGGCGTACTCTAGATGAGTTGCTGCGAAAGATGCCATGCGCACCTGCTCCTTTAGCGCCCTCAACCGAACCGCCCGAAACTGTCTCTCTAGCCTCCTTCAGAGACAACGTGGCTGGCAACAACAGCGCACACCTGGCACGTCTTCCTCCCGGTGTGTCCTTCCCTCACTGAGCAAGCTTCTCTCGAGTTGTCCCCGCCGCGGCATGCAACCGGCTCTACAAACAGGCACACTCCAGGTAACCATGAGCGGACTGAGTACGCCTTGCGCGCGTTCCCCCGCTGGCACTAGTCCGAATCCCCGTAACTGCCTTTCCTTGCTGTGTACACCGTGCACGCACTGCGAAGCCCTCCCCCGTTCTTGCATGCGTTGGACCCACCGTCCCTGCTTCCAACTCCCTGTGTCCTCTTACCTCACCCGCGGTGTAACTGTCTGCGCTCCGATGTCTCCACCCCGAGCTTGTTGCGGCTCAAGACTGCGAGACGCTGGGTACACCTGGCATGCCTCCCCCTCAATGCCTGGTCTTCTTCCTAATTCCTCCGTTCTCCGACCCAGTCTCATCTCGTGGCCCCCAGCTTCCTCTAACCGTCTGGTGTGTTGAGTCCTCCGTGCATTCGGACTGCCGGCCCCGCCTGTATCTCCCTACGATGTGGTCCTGGTACACTGGCTCTTTGCTGCTGTAGACTTTGTGCTCGGGCCTACGAGCGCAGACACACGGGTCGATAAGGTAGGAATTCGGTCCGTACCAGCGCTGAAAAACCCACGCATCAGAGGTATCGCTCAGGGACACGGTGGGCATAACACCAAATCCGCATTGTCGTCTCAACTTAAGATCCGAGGCGGTCCCTGTGGTGACGTTACCGTGGTTCCGCAGTTTGCTAGGACCGAACGCCGAATTCGTGTCGACCCAAGCAATCATCCCCAGCAGGGGTACCATGAGTCCCCAGACTCACTGCCTAACCAGTGACCCAGCATAATCATTCGGCTCTCGCCGTTCCAGATCCGTATCATCAGCCAAATTTATGAATTGGGGACCGCCGCAGAATACTGCTCTCAACCCATCGCAAGGGCCGTCCATGATCGTATCGGTTTCCCCAATCAGGGAACCGAATGCTGAACCAGTGCCGTAATCGAGCCGAATCAGTACGCCGCAGATCACATCAGACCCCCGCAGTACCAATGTCAAGAATGTCCACCCTGATATCTGGCTAGCTTTGCCATTGCATACCAGTTCCGTGCCTGGAATAATATACCGGGGAAGTCCCGGACCTGATATTAGGTCACGTAGGCGACACCGAAGCTGAAATAAATGGCCGTAGCGGCCCCGGAGGTAGAGATAAACCTCCATAGTCGTCCCGAACCCGAAATAAATGGCCATAACCCGCCCCGGGTTTGAAATAGGCGACTAAAATGGTCCCAAACCTGCCAATAAATCGCACTGATGTTTCCGTAGCCTTAATAAACTGCCGTAGCGGTTCCTTATCTAAAAATATACCACGACGAAGGCCCAAACCAGAAATAAAGTTCCCCGATGCCGCCGAACATGTAATATCCTGCTGAGGTTGCTCCGAACCTGATATTGAGCCGTGCCGATGTATCAGAACCAGAAAATAATCCACCATTGTAGTCGTAGTGGCTCCAAGCCTGATCACCCTGGTGCCAAGCCCATACCGAACTAGACATACGCAGGATACCGTAGAATGTACCTAGTCCGTAATAATACCGATTCTCTCCGAGCCACGCATCCGTACCAAGCCAAATACCAAACTGTCAGCCCAAGGTAGCACCACCCCATGCTGTCCATGCGACACCCGCTCTCAAAGCATCCTAACTGCGGTATTGTTAGCAATCATGCAAACCAGGGAATGTGGCGTAGGGATTCTCGACCATCGATAGAAGTGTAAACTGTTTGAATCCAGAGAAAATGATCAATTCGGGGTTAGAGCTGATGGCGGCAGATCGGGGTGAAAATAGGCCAATCTCCCAATAGTCATGGGGTTCTCGTCCCTCTCATCATTTTTAATCATTCTTCGTTTTCCTTAATTCTATTGTCGGAAATAGTAAATTACCTGTAAATTCCCCAAAATTAAATTCCGAGAAAGTTTAAATAAATGACCAAATTTCTTTTGTTTCTTTTCTCTTTTACCATTTTTAATATTTTTCTATGTTTTTAATTTCATTGCCGAGAACATAGAATAACAAGGGTATTCCCCCTAGAATTAAATGCCGTGATAAATAAAGAAATTAAGGGATATTATGTTTTTCTCTTCTCCCCTACTGGTCTTAATCCCTTTTTCCGATCTTTAATTACGGCACTAAAACAACAAAATTTGAGGCCTCATTTCGGCCCCGGACGTATGCCGCAAAAATGTTGCGGCGGGGCCAGTTCCCGCGATGCCTCTCCACGGCAGGCCAATCTGGGTCTAACCCTCTGAACGACCGGAAATGACGGTCCCTAGATACGCCGGGTGCGCCCACCCATCTCGCTATCTTTGAGGGTTAGTCGTAAGGTTCAGTGTGCCCAGAATCAGGGGTACCCTGAGTTCCCTTAATTTCTGCTGCCCGGTCAAACCAGAGTACCGTCAAAACACGGACTTGCMCTTGAGCCTAAGTCCCAAAACTGCAGATTTCAGGCGGCGCACTGCTTGTGGCCGCCTGACAGTTAGCCCGGACCACTTCTCGACGCCCCCGTCGAGCCTTAACCACTTTCGTCAGACGAAGCGGACGAGCTCCAGGGTGATTGCCCGTAAGGGACGCCCACGTCGGCGTTCAATTGTCTTATGTTTCAGTCTGTTTTGAGTTCTAGGGCTAAGTAGATGTTTTTTTACTTTCCTTCTCTGCCAGGTTCTCGGCCTTAGTAGGATCCTCTTTCTCTTCTGTCGTTGGGCCGAGAAGGGTGCCGTCCCGCCAGTTTGTCTAATGCGGACTCTCCGTCTAGCCCTCCTGAGCACGAATAACCACTTCTTCTCTCTCTCTAATGCCAACCCTTTGACGTTTCTTCTCTCCACTCTTTTTCTCTTCTTGGAACTTTCCCCTGCCTCGAATCGTCTCAAGGGGGCTCCATCCTCCATTTTGGCTTTTGCTCTCCCTTTCGGGCTTGTCATTGATAAGGTGGGTGCAGGCCTGGGTCTAAACAGCTTTAGCCTAGCACTCGCCACTGGGTCCTTCCACTTGGATCCGTCCAATTCTGCTATCATATATGCTACCCAGTCGAGTGCCTCAACCACTCTGTAAGGTCCCATCCATCTTTTGGCGAGTTTTCCGGTCCAGGTTCTTTCTAGCGCTGCGTCGTAGAGAAGGACCATATCTCCTACGCTCACCCTCTCTTTCCTGATTCTCACGTTCTTATCCCATCTCTCTTTACCTTTGTCCCTTTCCACTGCCAGACGATCTGCCGTTGTCATAAGGTTATCTTCCGAACCGTAGGCTATCTGTCTTGTTCGGGCAGCTATGAGTTCCTCTCTGGACATCGTCTCCGCCCAGTCGACGGTTGTCCAGCTGTCGACATGAAGCTCTATGGGGAGCGGACAATGCCGCCCAAACCACATGATGTACAGTGGGTATCCGGTACTAGCCCGGACCGTAACGTTGTCCACCCATATTGCGTATCGAAAATATCGTGGTCAATCACTGTCCTTACCCTTGCACCACTTAGACAGTGACGCTATCAGAGTCTGGTGGCCCCTCTCTACTGGGGAGTTCGACTGTGGGTGATAGGCGGTGGCTATCGAAACTCTCGCCCCGGCTCTCTTGAACACACTCTGAACCTCGTCAGCTAGAAACTCCGCCTCTCTGTCCATCACTATCTTGCTGACACAAGCATACCTTGATAAGTACTCCAGGACGAAGTTCTTCACTTCCTTTGCCGTCTTACTCCTGATAGGTCTACCGTCCACGAACCCAGTGAAATCGTCTCGTATGTTCACGACGTAGTTCATATTGCCTACCCCTTTCGGCATCTTCACCAGATCGATGTGTACCTTCTCTCCTGGTCTGGTGGGATAGGATGGATGGAGAGGCTCTTTGTATTTCACAAGAGCTCTCTTCTGACATTCCTCGTAGGTCATATAGTACCTCTCGATGTCCTTATACTGTCCTTCCCACCAGTACAACCTGCGTACCTTTTCGTAGGTTCCTTTGACTCCCCTGTGTCCTCTGACTACCCCATCGTGAAGCTCCGCAACTACCGTCTGTCTCTCCTCAGGGTCACAGACTACCCGTAAGGGCATCCCTGAACCGACCGGCCTTTGAAATAGATCACCGACTCTAAGGCAGTACTGCGCTGCTTGTCTCCGGATATCTGATTCTTGACTCTCCTCCCCTGACAAATGTAGCCCGATCGTTCGGTATTTGCCCTCGTAAAGGTTAACCAGAAATCGTTCGGCGCGTCTCGGCTCCGACATTGTCAAGGCACCAACTACTATCGGGCGCTCGGCCTCAAGAGGGATGCGCGGAAGCCCATCTGCCATGGCATTTTTAGTGCCAGATATCCTCTCAACTGTGTAATCATAAAGCCAAATCCGTATTAACCATCGAGCGATGGTCGGGTCCGTCAGACTAAAGTCCTTCTGGAGGACAGAGGCAACCGCGGTGGGATCTACTCTCAAGATGAACCGTCGCCCATAGATATAGTGTCTGAACGTGTCTAGACACCGCAGAATAGCTAATACTTCCTTCTTGAATTGACTGTAGTTACGCTCAACCGTATTAAGTGTTCTACTCTCAAATCTTAACGGTCTTTCCTTCCCTCCAACGTCCTTCTGAGACAACAATCCACCTACTGAACAAGGTCCAACATCTGTGGATACTATGAAGGGTCTCCCAGCCTCATCATCAAAGAATGGCACGCCCAATACGCGTCCTCCCTCCTCAAATTCGTCTTTAAGTTCTTGCATAGCGAGTTCCTACGAGGAATCCCAGTAAAATTTCTCAGTCTTTCGAAGGAGTAACCTCAATGGCTCAGCCTTCTCCGCATACCCTCGTATGAATATACGTCAGTAACCGACCACTCCCAGAAACTGCCGGACCTCGGTTAGACTATGTAACGGTGACGACCAGTTCAGGAGTTTGTCTAGCTTCGCCGGATCTGCTCGGCGTCCTCTCGAGTCACAGATAAAACCCAAGATCCTAATAGTCAAGACGGCCCATCGGCTCTTTGTTCCGCTGACCGTTAAATTCGCATCGTCCAACTGCTCAAGTACCGCACAAATATCTGTTAGGTGCTGCTCGACGAATCTTCTAACTCCTGGTACAACCTCTGTCTCGTCCTTGTTTACTGACCCTTTTATAGGAAAGTCATCCAGAAAAACTTCAATCTTATCAGGGATGAAGTCCTTGAGGATGGCTACCATGGCTCTCTGGAAAACGGCTACCCCATTAGTCCAACCCATCGGGACAACCATCATCTGTATCAGTCCCAATGGCGTATGCATAGCTGTGAGGTGCCTGTCCCTAGGATCAAGCCGTACCTCATCATAGCCTGAGAACAGATCACAGACCGAATAAATCGACCTGCCTGCGGCGCCTTCGACCAGTAAATCGGCGTGTGGCACGGAGCCCACGTCTCATATCGTCACCTCGTTGACCTTCTGAAGGTCCTGGATCCATCGGATCTTGCCATTCGGCTTTCGTAGAAAGAACCATCGATTAGCATAGGCGCTATCAGACGGCTCCACAACATGGGAAACCATCTTTTCTTTTAGGAAAGCGATAACTTCTTCCTTCTCCTTCTGGGCGTATTTCCATCCTGCGTCATTCCAAGGAATATGTGGAATTGTATAAATCCTTGCTGGCTTTGCGCATCGAGGGTCAACCCTACCGCGCCCCGCGTCGCTGAAGGCTATAGCCTTATCACACGTCTTTATGATCTCTATCACACGTTCTCGCTCCTGTGGGGTCAGATTTCCATCTCCGATGTCCATCCCTGCTATTCTCTCTTCCGTTAGGCGTTGCGACTCCTTTTTCTTTCTTTCTTTGATTTCCTTTGCAATCTCTTCTTCCGATATCCCTTCCAGTGCAGATCGCTCGCGGCCCACCGCCGCTGGCTTAACTTTTTGAGCTACTTGCTTGTGTCGCTTGGGTAGCCCCCCATAGGGGGCCGTGCCCTTAAAAAAAACACAGATACCACACCGCCAAATTCCTCATCTGTCTCCTTTGGGTACGAGTTGCCATCCACTACCAGCTGACTCTCTAAATCTTCCACTTCCACGATCCGACCTTCTTCCTCTGTGAGTAGTGGTCCATACTTCTTCTCGCGAAATCGCACCGTGAGGCCGGAGATAGGTAATGACCTAATCTGATCACTGGGTATTGCGCCCACGGCGAAAGCTGCTCTGTTCCTCGGGTCCCGAGGCTCCACTGTCTCAATCATAACCCGCGTCCCATCTAGCTTCTTAATGGACAATGTGTGGCTCCCATCCGGTCGCTCTATCGTCACCGCATGCACGTGGCTCAACCACGTTCGTCCCAAGAGCAGATCAGAGCTGCAGTTCTTGACTGCAAGGACAGGCAGGGTCACTCGTACCCCTTGGACCTCTATGGCTGCCTTGTGACAAACCCCAGTGATCTGTTGTTTTCTCCCATCAGCGGTCTCAATCTGGAATAGGTAGGACCTATCGAGGCTCAGTCCAACCTGCACTGCCAGATCCTTGTCTATAATGATAGCCTCACTGCCGTTATCGATAACGACATCCAGTACCGCTCCGTCATTTATGATCGCCTCCACGGCCCCACTACCAAGTATGTAAAACTTGTCTGGAGGCACATCTTCCATCCCATCAAGAAGGACTGTCGCCATGCGATCCGCTCTGGCAGTCACCCCCGTTACTGCTATTGTAGGAGCTTCCGCCTTAGGGCCCCCCTGAGCCTCCTCCGATAGAGGTATGCGAGTCTTCTGCATGATCATCTGTAACTCATCGCGAGCCGGCTTCGATGCCGCCAGGTACTCCAGAATAGAGCACTGCATGGGCTGTCGAAGGGTCCGTCTCCGTGGCTCGACCGTGTCAATCTCATCCAGCGAACTCTTCATCAAGAACTTCTTCACTCCTCACTTTCGCGGCGAAAGAATAACCTCCTCTCCATCGATCTGTTGTCCGTTCTTTTCTGCCATCACAGAATCAGTGTCAGTTTTCCTCGATGTAGAGCCTCTCGCTGACTTGGTAGCTGCCACCCTTATGGGTGTAGTTGCCATATCTCCTTCGAAAGTTATCTTGATGCTCTGGCTCCTCACCAGCGCCTTCCTTTTACTCGGCTTTACTCTCCTCGCTTCTACATTATCCTTCATCGAAGGGAACATTGATACGTCTCCCAGATCATCCGCCCACTTGACGTACTTGCGGTCGTCAAGCACGACAAGCTCCTCATCTATTGCCCGTTTGAGGTCCGGGCAATCTCTCTTGATATGATCATCCCCTCTACAATAGACGCAAGAGTTGCTGGGGGTGGGTGGCCTGTCGTCCGTGCCTCTGGAGGTCGAACCTCTCGCTGCTCTGGGGTCTGGGGACTTCGGATACGGATCAGACGACGCGCCGTATCCCCCTCTCTCATTCCTGCCCCGCGAATCATTGCGGCGGTCTCCGTGTTCGTATTGCTCACGTGAATCATCACGTCGTTCTCCTCGGTCGTATCGCCCGCGTGAATCATTACGTCGGTCCCCTCGGTCGTACCGTCCGCGTGAATCATCACGTCGGTCTCCTTGGTCGTATCGCCCGCGTGAATCATCGGGTCGATCTCCTCTCTCATATCCGCCACCTCCGTATCCATCTCGATCCGTCCTCTCATATCTGTCGTCTCTATGTCCATCTCGGTCCGATCTCTCATATCTGTCGTCCCTATGTCCATCTCGGTTTGATCTCGCATATGTACCATCCCTGTATCCGTCTCGCCGACCTTGATCCGACTCCCACCGGCCTCGAGAATCGCCTACCCCGTCAGGCTCATAGCGAGGGTTACGCGAGTAGTCATCCAGTCTCCTAGCACGCCCATACGTCTCGCGAGTCCTGCGGTCCCGGTCTATCTCATCATCCCTACGTCGTTATGGCTCATCGCCTCTCTCCCTTTCCCTCGCACGATAATCAGTCAGCGTTCGAGGATTTCTATCCTCGACACTCCTCCAGGAATCAATGTTCCTCCGGTCCCAGCGACGTGAATAGGGTCCTCCGGGCTTGTCCCGGTGTGTCGTGGCTCCTATGGTGGTTATAATCTCTGTAACCTGTCCTGTCAATCCCTTTACCATATCCCTTATCTCCTTCACTTCCTCGACGACGGTTTCATTTTTCTCCGACCAGGGATAGTCCTTGAAATCAGGACATCTATCAGTGGCATACTCCTTGTAGAGAGAGAAGTCACGTCTCCTCATCCCTCTCCACACCAAGTCCTTGTAGTCGTCTGCCTCAGCCTTTATTGCGAGCTTTAGGACTTCTGGGAAGTCAAGCTTGTCGCACGGAAGATCTCTAAGTATACTCTTTTGCCTACCTTTGGACAGGTGTCCGATGAAGATAGTACAACACTCAACCTATGAGATCTTCCCCTTCTTCATCAGCACGTCGGAGATCTTCTGGAAACGCATCCCAAATGCCCGTACGCTCTCATCTTCATCTTGAGTCATTGTCCTAAGGTCCTTGATAGAGTACTTGTTATCCTCCAATTTGTAAAGCTCAGCGAGGTTCTTCTTGTACGTAGTCCATTTCCCATCCTTCGGTTGAGCTTCCTTAACTTCCTTACCGAGACTTGGGTCCACATTAAATAGGAAGTTCTCTATAATCTCTTCCTCCGACCACTGACTCCGGCTGGCGTGAAGCTCCCACTTCTCCAGATATTCAATGATGCCATAACCCCTGAAAGTAGGAGGCTCTGAGGCCTTGTGCGTAATAATATATCGATCCTTGCTCTCGTAAGGGAGCGGGTTTGGGGGTCAAAGACACGTCGCAGCGGTGCTCTATCTCTATCTATGTCCCTCCAATAGGAATCCCTTGAACTGTCTTGCCAGTCGTCCCTGTGCCTATCCGCGATGGTTTCCCTCCGCTCATACTCGGGGGAGCGTTGTCTCATTGCTTCTCTTCGGCCACTCGAGGTTTCTGTTTTTAGAGCCTCCTGCGACTCTGTCTCGACAGGCTCGCCCATTACGTCGGGCTCTCCGTCGTTGGTTTGGTCAGCCCATCTCAGCGGTGCTTCCCGCCTAATTCGTTCCTTCAGATCCCTCAGAGCTCGGTCGGGCGATGTCCTGTACTCCTTCCCTACTTCACCCCTGGTTGGTTGTGGCCCCATTGCGTCTGGTTCCATAGGCCACCTGAAGACGCAGTTAGGCACTCTCGCCGGGTGTTACAGCCCGGACCTATGACAGTTGCTGCTTCTCGGACCTGTGACAGAACTCGCAGCCCGGACCAGTTTCCCTGTCACTGTTCACGCTCGTCACCAACCCTAGCTCTCGACTGCCCTGATCACCAGCACCAGTACTCGGTTCCGGTCGCGGATCTCGTGCTCTCCTTCTACCCCAAGAATCCCTGTGTCTAGATAAACATCTCCTTCGGGAACGATCAACAAGGCCGCGCCTCTCCGGATCTGCAGTACACCCGTGACAGGATCTCTACTCCTACGGCAAGTCGCGGTCCCAAGCCTAACCAGTGTCTCCTGATCAACACCCCTCAAGAGCCTCCGAGCATCTATCTCTGTCCTCCTTGCCAGGTCTTCCAACCCGTCCTGAATCGGGTAGCTCGCTAAAGGAGGAAACTCCCCTCCTACTGCCATCCAAAATCGCTCATCGACCTTTCTAGCTTCCACTATCCTTCCAAGAGATTCCAATCTCTATTTCCACTCCTTTAACTCCCAGACGACTATGAGGTTATCTGTCTAGCACCTGAGGTAAGTCAGTGCTATAACCACTCGTAACCTCATCGCCGACAACTCCAATATGTCATAGAATGTCTCAAAATCCTCCTCATCTCCACTATCCTCTATGACCTCTAAAGTCTTTATCGATTCCCTCCAGTACCGATCGTGAGCGGCTAGCACCCTGAGTATTGCACCGTCTGTTGCAACTCTCCCTACTCTTGAGCTTTCCTGGCTTCGCTTATCTTCAACCTCTCAGCCTCTCTGGTCGTCTCGTACCATGCCCTTCTCCGAGACCGCCCTTCGAAAGTCGTCACTCGGAGTACGTATTTTATCCTTCGTCCTCCTTTTACTCCAATCCAAAGTCCTGTCTCCCTAGCCTCATGCAGCGCACGGCGGACACACTCCGCCTCCTCAACTATGCACAGTCTGGTATGGAGCTGGAGCTCTACGATCACTAACACCAACGGTCCGTCCAGTCTCCCTACCACATGCAATGAGTACCAATCCGTCGTGTGTTGTGCAGTCCCGCTCATGTCCTATCGCTACCTCCCTGCCTTACCTTATCCTCCGTTGTCACGCCCTCTGCAGACCTCTCCCTAGTTCCTTTGCGTGATATGCTCCTAGTTCTTACCCTCTCCAGAAAGTCTAATCTCCACGCCTGGATAATCTCTCTTTCCTCCCTAAACAAACTCTCTAACTCTCTCGTCACGAGCTCAGCCCTACGCAACTTACCCTCATCCTGGCACGACCAGATCTCCCTTAACTTGTTCCCCAACTCCTTTACCTGGTTCAAGAGTGGTTCTTTAATGCGCTCTCTCACTCTTTCGACTGTCTCACTCTCCTCTTCCATACTCAGTCCTCATCTCTTTCCAGCTCTTGCTGTCAGTCTCGCCTCGCCTAAAGATATCTGCTTACCGTCTCTCCACTACTCTCCTATCTAAACCTCACTCGGATATGCCCTGTCTCTAGTTGTCTCATGCATCATGCATATCCTCATCTGTGTCCTCATCCACTCTCTGCCCCCATGGGATATCCTCCTGTCCCTCGGCCTGAAGGAGATGTCCCCAGCCGTCCACCTGCGGCGCCTCTCCACCTACCTGCCCTTGTCCCTGAGCCCGCGCCAGGTCCCCCCAGCCCTCGTCCTGGTCGCCCCAAGGGTCTATGTCTTCGAAGTCCTCCCAATCCAGATCCTCAGCGTACCACGCAAGATCGTCTGCCTCTGGATATACCTGCCGGCCGGGGTTAGGATGAGATGGCTCGGCCTCTCCTCACGAGTCTCGGCTAACAGCTGTCCTATTCCAGGTAAATGATCTATAGGCCTCCGAGCCTCTCTCTCTAGTGCCGTCCAGAAGGCTAGGGGCTGGTACAGAGAGTATAGGCCGGGGCTCCCGGTAGGTACAATGGCCCGCAGGAACTCAATCAGTTGGAGTCCTCGCTCTCCTACAAGCGGCCCTGCTACAAACTGCGCATACAATTCCCAATCCCTGTCAGTGTACCCTCGGCAGAGGCCGTCCAAGTAAAGCGCCGCAAAGTAGATCTCGCCCAGACGCCTAAGTCCCCAAAGCTCCTCTGCCACGAAGCACGGAAGTGTCACACGCAGTCGACTGCTAGGATATGGGAAGTGTCCTCCAATCCTGAAGGTCGTCGTCACTCTCCGAACACCCCCGTGCAACGGCTCCACCTCGCCGCGCTCGGAGTCTGCTCGAGCCAACAAGATCCTCCTCGCGGTCTGCTCCTCTCGCCAATGATCGTGCACGATGCCGTAAAAATAGACAGTGGCTAGCACCTCCTGCGAGTAGTAAATGTGGCCCACTACCTCTATGCTAGTCGTGCCTGGTCGTCGCCACCTCTGACTGTCTAGCTCAAACGTCTCGATCACATACGTCCACAAGTGTACGTTTAGGCCCAACACCGTCGATGACCATCGACTCTCTATCGCATCCCCGGAAACCCCTCTGGTCGGCAGATCTAGCGCCACCCTGCCTGGCGCTACTATCTCTGGAGGTCTAGGCCATCTAGCGTCGTCTATCTGAATCTCCACTCCACTGACCTGCTCTACCATCGATCCGCTCTCCACTATCGGCCGATAAGAGTAGCTAAGCTCACTCAACCGTCGCGCTAATGTGCTCCTCTGCCTCCTACGCCCGGACTGCTACTCCTATCCTGGGGAAATGGGCGTCCGTAACGTCGATCTCCTCCTCGTCAACCTCACTCTCTGGGTCGACCCAGTCTGGCTCCCAGGCGTCCTCGTCTTCGTCTTGCTCCCAACCCTCGTCGTCAAACTCGTCCTTGACGCGGTATGGCGCCTGCCCTATAGCCTGGTAGTACTCTGCCAACTGATGGCCGTATATCAGAGGTCGCCTAGCGTCCTCACTCCACCAGCTACCCCAGTCGTCTGAGAAGAGCCACCTGATGCAGGTCACGTACTCGGGGCCTGCACGGAGCTCACGGTCCAGCCAATCCTAAACGCACGGAGACTGGGGCCACTCGTCGTCTATCGAACGGATCAGCTCTATAAGCTGAACCCTCTCGTCACCCCAACGAGGTCCGCCGGTCGCGAGTGAAGAATAGATGTAGTCGAGGTCGCCAGGCCTCCTCGCCAGGATATTGAGATCCGGATAGGCTAGGTATGTTTCGACCACTCCACCAATCCCTCCAAAGACGCTCTCTACTACGAATGTCGGAACTATCGCCCGCAGACTCCGTACGCTATACGGGAAAAACCCGTCCCGCGCTACCACCAGCTCGCCCGTGATATCAACTGGAGGGCGTCCGTGAAATAGGATCAACGAGTCGCTCGAGTTCTCCGCTCGGAAGGCAGCTACCTCGTCCCTCAGGTAGCGTAACGCCCTGCTAACCGCGCCACTAGTCCCCGTCATCGCGGGGCCTACCACGGCCTCCCTGACCGCGCCCGGTCCTAAGTACAAGTAGGCTCTCACTACGCCCACTCCTTGCCCAGGCTGGTGCTCTCTGTGCATCCAAAGCCACACGTCCTCGGACAAGATTATGGACCTCCTTGCAAACTGGCCGTCAACGTATCGAACGCTGCGCCCGGGGATCGTGAGCTCCA